CTCCTAAATGTAAAAATCATAATTTTTTTTGCTAAAAATTACTTGAAACCTCCAAGTGGTTTTCACACACCTCAAAAAAAAATGAAAGGAACACTTTGAAAACACATCAGATCTCAATAGGGAAAAATCTCATGCTGGATATCTATACTGACATGGACGGGGTAATGTGTTAGGAACGTAAGGATGTCCCATCGTTTGATGGAAAAGAAAATTATCAACCTACAGAGGACTGAATTCAAAGACACCCCGAAAATCAAAGTGAAAAAATGATAAAGCAGTCTAGTCCATTTTGCTGAAATTCTTTGCAGTAACTCAGAATGGTCCTCAGTAGTTTGTATGGCCCCCACGAGCTTGTATGCATGCCTGACAATGTCGGGGCATGCTCCTAATGAGATTATGCGTGGTGTTATGGGGTATTTCCTCCCAGGTCTGGACCAGGGCATCACTGAGCTCCTGGACAGTCTCAGGTGCAATCTGGTGTCGTCGGATGGACCAAAATATGATATCCCAGAGGTATTCTATTGGATTTAGGTCAGGCAAGCATGTAGGCCATTCAATGGTATCAATTCCTTCATCCTCCAGGAACTGCCTGCATACTCTCACCACATGAGGCCGGCCATTGTCGTGCACCAGTAGGAACCCAGGACCCACTGCACCAGAGTAGGATCTGACAATGGGTCCAAGGATTTCATCCCGATACCTAATGGCAGTCAAGGTGCCATTGTCTAGCCCAGTGCTTCTCAACTTTTTTTCAGTCAAGGCACCCTTTAAAATTATGGACAGTCTTGAGGAATCCCATGCTAAAATGTGAAAAACTATTCTAATAGCTTTATATAACACAGCAACATCCACACATGTAGGACACCCAACATTAGAGGGGATTTATTCCAAAGCAAATACACTTTTGCGCACTGTGTACTGTACTGGTATTCCAGTATTTCTCTTCTCCCTCAGTTTTTCTCCATCACTGAGCTAATGTGACCCCAGCACTGATGGAGAGGGGCAGGGGAAGGTCAAACTAGGATGCTGTGCAGGCAACTGACATTCTCCTTATCAACTGATGTCATTGGTTGTCAGGATGCCGGCAGCTAGAAGGTCGTAATGGTGCACAATGAAAATCTGTGGCTTTGTGTAATTAAAAGGCTATTTTTAAAAATTTGCCAAGGCATCCTTGAAGAAACCTCAAGGCACCCCAGGGTGTCTGGGCACCCTGGTTGAGAAATGCTGGTCTAGCCTGTAGAGGTCTGTGCCCTCAAAAACGGTCATGCTGAATGATGTTACAGGCAGCATAATGTTCTTCACGGCTTCTCCAGACCCTTCTACGTCTGTCACATGTGCTCAGGGGGAACCTGCTCTCATCTGTGAAAAGCACAGGGTGCCAGTGGCAGACCTGACAATTCTGGTGTTCAATGGCAAATGCCAATCCAGCTCTTTGATGCTGGGCAGTGAGCACAGGGCCCACTAGAGGACATCGGGCCCTCAGGCCACCCTCATGAAGTCCGTTTCTGATTGTTTGGTCAGAGACATTCACACCAGTGGCCTGCTGGAGGTCATTTTGTAGGGCTCTGGCAGCACTCATCCTGTTCCTCCTGGCACAAAGGAGCAGATACCGGTCCTGCTGATGGGCTAAGGACCTTCTACGGCCCTGTCCAGCTCTCCTAGAGTAACTGCCTGTCTCCTGGAATCTCCTCCATGCTCTTGGGATTGGGTGCTTGGAGACACCGCAAACCTTCTGGCAATGGCACGTATTGATGTGCCATCCTGGAGGAGTTGGACTGCCTGTGCAACCTCTGTAGGGTCCAGGTATCGCCTCATGCTACCAGTAGTGACACTGACCCTAGCCAAGTGCAAAACTAGTGAAAAACAGTCAGAAAAGATGAGTAGGGAAAAAAATGTCAGTGGCCTCCACCTGTAAAACCATTCCTGTTTTGAGGGTCGTCTCATTGTTGCCCATCAAGTGCACTTGTTGATTTCATTAACACCAAAGCAGCTGAAACTGATTTAACAACCCCCTCTGCTACTTAACTGACCAGATCAATATCCCAGGAGTTTAATTGACTTGATGCTATACTCTGATTAAAAAGTGTTCCTTTCTTATTTTTTTTTTTTTTTAATTTTTATTTTTGAGGTGTGTGTGTACAATTTTTTTTTCTTTTTTAAAGCAGAGGCCCTAGAGAAAATAAAATGGTGGGTTTTGCAATTTTTTTTTTTTTTTTTTTATGTCACTCGGTATTTGCATAGCAGTTTTTCAAGTGCAAATTTTTAGGAAAAAATGCACTTTAATGAATTTTAGCGCACAACACAATATAATGTCCACTTGTTTGGTAAAATATAAAAGATAATGTTATGGTGAATAAATAGATACCAAACCTGTCCCACTTTAAAATTTTGTACGCCTGTAGAACGGTGCCAAATTATACTACTTTTAAAACCTCCATAACTGTCACTTTAAAAACACTTACAGGTTACTAGTTTAGAGTTACACAGGAGGTCTGCTGGAATTATTATTCTCACTATAATGTTAGCAGCAATCTCATGTGTATGGTGCGAACACCATTTACATATGCGTGCGTGACCTAGGTATGCATTCGCCTTTATGTGCAAGCACTAGGGTGCTTTAAAGAAGCTAGTTTATTTAAATCCCTTTTATTGTGATTACAAGGAATGTATACATCCCTTGTGATGACAGTATGCAGTGACAGGTCCTCTTTACTGAGAGATCTAGGGTCTATTAGACCCCAGATTTCTCCTCTGCTCTTAAAAAAAAAAAAAAAAAACATCTGATCACAGCAAGTTCTGTGTGGCCAGATGCTTTCCGAAGCCAAAAATGGCTTTGTTGACATCTGGAGAAGCTGGAAGCGACAAAATGCTTGTCACTTCCGATTTTTTAACCACTTCCCAACCGGCCGTTGCATATAAACAGCCGGACGGTGGCAGTACAGGGTCGGGTGGCCGTTTATGAACGGCCTCCCCGCACCCTGCTTGTGCGCGCTCCCTGGGAGCGCGCAGCACCGCGATCCGGTGCCCGCTGTGTCCTCCGGACACAGTGAAACACCGATCGTTGGACGGGACCCTCTGTACGAGGTCCCGATCATGTGATCACTGATTGGCCAATCAGTGATCACATGCAAAGTAGTAAGCAAGATGTCACTTGTGACATCATTGCTTACTACGTGTGAAATCTGTGAATGATCACAGAGGTCACATGGTACAAGGCTATTCACAACAGCCTTGTACCATGTGACAAGCTGTGACCAATCACAGCTCACTCTGTATTTCTCAATGAGTGCAGGAATGCAGACAGAGAGAAAGAGAAATGATTGCTTTTACATCCTATATGGGTGTAAAAGCAATCATTGTAAAAAAAAAAAAATCTTCATCACCATCCACAAGTAGTACAGTGTCACCATGGTGACACTGTACTGCTAGGGTGACCGTATGTAAAAAAAATAAAATAAATAAAAATAATATAAAAATGTAAAAAAAAATGTTTAAAAATTATAATTTTTGGTTATAAACTAATTTGTTTGTTTTTTTTTTTTTACTAAAAAGATAACGAAATACATTTTGGCAAAGATTTATGATGAAATATTATTTATTTGCAAAATTTTATAAAAAAAAACACTTTTGTTCAAAATTTTTGGACTTTTTTCATTTACATAGCAAAAAAAATAAAAATCCCAGCAGTGAATAAATACCACCAAAATAAAGCTTTATCTGTTGCAAAAAAATGGTAAAAAATTAATTTGGGTACAGTGTTGCATGACTGCGCAATTGTCATTCAAAGTGTGATAGCGCTGAAAGCTGAAAATTGCCCTGGTCAGGAAGGGGGGAAAAGTGTCCGGTCTGGAAGTGGTTAATGCCATAGAGATGATTGGGGAGGTTCATGTACCAGAATACTTTGGCCTAAACTTATAAAGAAATTTTTTTTTTTTTTTTTTTTTTTTTTATTCAATATATTCTATTTTATAATCAAAAGTAAAAAAAATTGTTTCAAAAATTATTTTTTTTTTGTGTATATATAATAAAAAAATTAAGAAAAACTGGTGATCAAATACCACAAGAGAGCTCTATTTTGTGTGAAAAAAATTCTATAAATTTAATTGCAGTCTTGCATGGCCGTGCAATTGCCTGTTAAAGTAGCGCAGTGCTATATAGCAAAAAATGGCCTGGTCATGAAGGGGATCAAAACCTTCTGGAGCTCAAATGGTTAAACAATTAGTGTATACACCATCTCCAGTATGTCTCTAGCTAAGTGACAGGTGCTCTTTATAGTAGTTTTAATTTGTAAATCTCTTGTGGTTCCTCCCCAGCAATCCTTATCAATGGAAGGCCGAGCAGCCAGCTGTTTGTTTTATGGCTTCCACGGGTCCAGCCACTACTTGAACTCGGTTCATAAAGACGTCTTAATGGAGGAACCCAAAGTTTCATGTGTTAAGAGTCTCAGGAAGAGCCGAAAACACCAACGGTTCCTAAAGTACAAAGAGTTTCTGCAGCAGCGGGGGCGGCTGGGTACTCTGAAATCTGGGACCATACAAGGGAAAGGAGAAGATTGGTGTTCTGACTCTGATCGGAAGAGCCGTGGTAGGCTACAAGTGGATGAACTGAACACAGATCAACTGGATGACCAGTCTGCTAAACTCGATAAGATAAAGTCCATGCTGTGTTCTCTGCCAGACATGGCTACCAGATCCCCTGATTATTCTGCACCCATGGCTACCAGATCCCCTGATTATCCTGCACCCATGGCTACCAGATCCCCTGATTATCCTGCAGCCATGGCTACCAGATCCCCTGATTATCCTGCAGCCATGGCTACCAGATCCCCTGATTATCCTGATTGGCTATCCCCTGATTATCCTGCAGCCATGGCTACCAGATCCCCTGATTATCCTGCAGCCATGGCTACCAGATCCCCTGATTATCCTGCAGCCATGGCTACCAGATCCCCTGATTATCCTGCAGCCATGGCTACCAGATCCCCTGATTATCCTGCAGCCATGGCTACCAGATCCCCTGATTATCCTGCAGCCATGGCTACCAGATCCCCTGATTATTCTGCAGCATGTGACTACGACAGCGGCTTGTCCGTATCCAGCAGTTGTCCCTCTAGCAGACCCTCATCCCCCTGTCCGTGGCTAAAGCCCGGGAAGTGCGTTGCCTTGGACTGTGAGATGGTTGGCACAGGGCCCGGTGGTAGGACCAGTGAGCTGGCCCGGTGTAGTATTGTGAACTACCAAGGAGACGTTGTCTATGACAAATACATTATGCCAGAGCTACCAATCACAGACTACAGAACACGCTGGAGCGGCATCACCAAACGCCACCTGAAAAATGCCATTCCATTTAAAACTGCACAGAAAACGGTAAATGCTATAATAGTTAGGGATGTAACGTTTGCAGAGTTATGCATGCTGTGCATGTACATTTGTGCTGTGTGAATGGGGCAAAATGGAATGTTAGTGGGCTATTTACACTCCAGGTCGAATGTTCATTCAAGCAGAACAGCAGAAATCTGAAAAATACTGCAATGTGGCCAATAGGTGGAGCTGCTGATCAAAAGAAATACTTCCATGATCGGCATCTCCATCTAGTGGCGATAATGCAGCATTTTCCTGAACCGCTTTTGTTATTAATGAATTGATAACATTTTACTCCAGATAAAATAGCCCTTTGCCATTCAACTTTGCTCCCATATACACAGAGGGAATATGCATTTAGTTCCATAGAATGAATAGCTTTAAAATACATTCATTATTTATGCATTCATATGTATATTGGGCTCGGTTCATACTGCTGCGACTTGGGACCTGACTTGTGCGACCCCCCCCCCCCCCCCCCCCCCCAAGTCACATGTGTGATATTCCATGTTAGTCAACAACAGCTGTCTTAATGAGGCTGTCAATTTTGTAGGAGTTCCCTCCCCTGTCACCGTCTTTCTCTTGGTGTCAGGAAAACTTGTCAGAAGTGATTCATGCAGATGGCAGAGGAACGAAGCAGCAGACAGAAATGAGACTTAGTGCTCTGGATTGAGATTGATACACACTATAGAGGGATATGCTTTGTTCATGTTTCACGTCTGAGGTTTACAACCAATTTAAATCAGAACTACACTGTATCTGAGCACCACAAACTGAAAACGCTATTTCATTCATTGCTTGTATTCAAAGCAAACTCCCCCATGCATCTGTCTTGTTTTATTTTGCCGAGAAATCACTTTAAAAAACTCCCCCTATCATTTCTAGCAGTGGCCATCTTGAGTAAGGGCAGCTGATTAAAGTGTTACTAACCCCACGACCGTAAAATCAGTCTGTATATGCCGTAAAGCATGCTTGTTATACTCACTGTGGAACCTAAGGGGTTAATCCTCTGCATTGTGTAAAAAGGCCATTTTGATCCTTTCTTTTCTGCTCCTCCTTGTTCAAATGTCCACACCTTATCTCCTGATAAGACAGACTGAACCCGTAGCCCTTCTGCACATGCTCAGTTTAGTATGTATTGCTAGAGAGGTTTGTGTGTGTTTGTTTTTTTTTTTTTTTTTTTTTTGGGAGAGTGCATATGATCAGCACAAGGCCAGTCAGCACTGTCCAGACAGAGGTCAGGGGTTCTGCATTCTCCTAGAGCAGAAAGAAAATTCCTCCTACAGGCTTTAACCAGTGCTCAGCTGAAGTCACAAGACTGCTCTAACTGTTGATGAGAAAAGATATTTAGCCGTTTATATTTACCAAAATAATTGCATCTCCATGTTCTGTGTACTGTGGGAGACCAGATATAGTGAATGCGGGGTCCGGGGAGACCAGATATAGTGGATGCGGGGTCCGGGGAGACCAGATATAGTGGATGCGGGGTCCGGGAGAGACCAGATATAGTGGATGCGGGGTCCGGGGAGACCAGATAGTATAGTGGATGCGGGGTCCGGCAGATATAGTGGATGCGGGGTCCCAGGGAATGAGACCAGATATAGTGGATGCGGGGTCCGGGGAGACCAGATATAGTGGATGCGGGGTCCGGGGAGACCAGATATAGTGGATGCGGGGTCCGGGGAGACCAGATATAGTGGATGCGGGGTCCGGGGAGACCAGATATAGTGGATGCGGGGGGTCCGGGGAGACCAGATATAGTGGATGCGGGGTCCGGGGAGAGACCAGATATAGTGGATGCGGGGTCCGGGGAGACCAGATATAGTGGATGCGGGGTCCGGGAGACCAGATATAGTGGATGCGGGGTCCGGGGAGACCAGATATAGTGGATGCGGGGTCCGGGGAGACCAGATATAGTGGATGCGGGGTCCGGGGAGACCAGATATAGTGGATGCGGGGTCCGGGGAGACCAGATATAGTGGATGCGGGGTCCGGGGAGACCAGATATAGTGGATGCGGGGTCCGGGGAGACCAGATATAGTGGATGCGGGGTCCGGGGAGACCAGATATAGTGGATGCGGGGTCCGGGGAGACCAGATATAGTGGATGCGGGGTCCGGGGAGACCAGATATAGTGGATGCGGGGTCCGGGGAGACCAGATATAGTGGATGCGGGGTCCGGGGAGACCAGATATAGTGGATGCGGGGGTCCGGGGAGACCAGATACAGTGGATGCGGGTCCTGGGTTTAGTATCACTTTAACCACTTGCATACAGGGCACTTTTACCCTCTTCCTGGCCAGGCCAATTTTCAGCTTTCATCGCTGTCGCACTTTGACGATTGCGAAGTTATGCAAAATTGTAGCCCTATTTAATTTTTTTTTTTTTTTTTTTTTCACACGTATAGAGCTTTCTTTTGGTGGCATTTAATTGCCACTGGATGTTTTATTTGTTTGCACTATAAACAAAAAAAAAAAGCAAAAAATTTGAAAAAACATTTTCTTAGTATTATAAAATTTTGCAATCAGGTAATTTTTTCTCCTCTGTGTGTTTTTAAGGCTGCACTGATGAAGGTGGCACGGATAGGCCGCACTGATAGACTTCACTGATGAGGTGCCACTGGTGGGCATTCAGGAGGCATTGATGCTGCACTAATATACAGCAATTATGGGCACTGCTGGGCACTGATCATCAGTGCCGATCTGCTCTGTGACAGTTGCAGGGTATCGGCAGTACTTTCCTCACACTGTGACAGCGTGAGGAAAGTGCTGCCGATAACTGGCAACTGTATTTACATTGTGATATGCTGTGTCATTGGACACAGCTGATCACATGGTAGAAGGCCGCTGTGATTGGCCTTTTACCTCATCATGTGATCAGCTTTGTCTGTAGGACACAGCGATCACGGGGGGCGTGCGGGAGGACGTCAAATGACGCCCTGCCAGAACTGGACAACCGCTCTGTAGCCATCATTCAGCTATAGCATGGTTGGCAAGTGGTTCATTTAGCATCTACTTCCTGGAATCCGTCTGTCCTTTTTAAAAAAAAAAAAAAAAAAATGAATGCAGGCCCCATATCTAATGATTGGTAATCTGCAATATATTACATTTTTGGTTTTGAGTTTAATACCGCTTTGAGATGTTTTTTTACTAATAATATCTCATATGCAACCTGATCTTTGAATTGTTTTCTAGATCTTGAACATTCTGAAAGATAAGCGAGTCATTGGACATGCTCTGATCAATGATTATAAAGCTCTAAGATATTACCATCCCAAGGAACAAACCAGAGACACAAGTCAAATCCGTCTGCTCACCCAAATGGCAGGACTGTCCAAAACACCTTCTTTAAAAAGTCTTGCATGGGTCTCCTGCAGAAAAAAATACAGGTAAGATTAAAGTGGAACTACACTGTGTGTGAGCACCACAAACCAAGAACACTGTCATTTATTTTTGATTTTCAACGCAAACTCCCCCATCCATTCATGTCTCCTTACTTTATTTAGCTGAGAAATCACTTTGAATAACACTCCCTCCCCCCCAGCATTTGTGGCCATGGCCATCTTGGCTAAGGGCAGATGATTCGTGTAGTATTTACTTACTGGAGTCTATCTGCCCTTAGCTCAGGCAGGGGTGTGTGCTTAGCTGAGAAAACCCCTTTTTGCTCCCTGAAGTCTGAGATGTATGACATGGAACATGTGTAAGCTTTTGTGCAGAATAATTGGAGAAAAGTTCAAAAGTAAGATAATAAATCTCCCTAATGTGTCTGTTCATTCGTTCTGATCATCTGCTCCATCTAGTGGCTATAATGCAGTATTTTCCTGAAATATCTCAATCAATGGAAAATACTGCATTATGGTCATTGGATGGCACTGACTATCATAGGGAATAAACATATTAGACACATACCTGGGGTTGTTTGTGACACCCATGCGAATGATGAGACATCTGTACACCAGATTTTTTATAAATATACCCCTTTGTATAAGAATAACAAATAAGTAATTTGTCTTTTAGTTTGTGAATGTATATATTTTTGTCCCCAAAATTTATTTTTTATTTTTTTTTGGGGTGGTTCACTGTGCCTATTGTCCCCTGATCCCACATTTCAAGATTGAGCAATTCCTTGTGTGTTTGCTTTTAGGCTCCATTTACACCAATGCGTTTTTTAGCACTTTTTTGCAGACACACTGCAGTCCATTTAATATGGCTTCCTATGGAACATGTACACATCTATGCTTTTTTGAGCTGCGGCGTTTTTTGGAAAGGGTCAGGGACTTTTAAAAGCAAAAAGCAGTGTTTTTGTTGCAATAGAGTTTAGTGGAGAATCTGCTGAAATGCATGGTAGTGCATTTTTTTGCCACGTTTTGGCTTTTTCATTTTTATTCTGCCCAGCAAAAAAATTCCAGTTTTTTAAAAAAAAAGAAAAAGCAAACCGCGTGTAGAAAAACACAAAACAAGCTGCTAACAGTACTGGAGAAAGCATCAAACGCAACATGCATAAATGTGAATGGAGCCTGAGGGAAAGCAGTTTCCTCTATTCCCTGGATTTAAGGTCACAAGATGATCCTTCAGTCAATTCCCTTAAAAGCCGGATGTTAGCATTGGTCTGTATGTGGTCATCTGACCCAACTGTTAACCTGGGGAAAAAAGTGAAATCATCTGAATGTGGGAAACCTTTATTCATTTCTGCAGATCGGGGCATTTGTTGAGGGGCCATAGTTGCTTTGACCCTTTTTGCATTCAATGACATAGCACACATCATAGCAATGAAAGGGTTTAACCATTCTCTGTTCTTGGCCCGTATATTGTACAGACCTGACATCAGGGGGGTTTACACACATACTTCCTGATGGTTGCAGCCACGGGGAGTGTGTCTGTATCTGATGAGCAGACTGCCACCTGCCAAGTCCAGTGGTGCCGGATTGCTTTTACACCCCTGGTGACATGCGCACTCCTGCCACGTATCCTGGGCTCCGCTTGCCCATCTGCGGGACCAACATAGCAGGTGCTGCTGGGTAGGGGGGGTAGCTGAGCAGATACACGTCCGCTCCTCTTCCTGTTGATCCGGCAGTAAATTGTCACTTCTGGGTGTCGTTCCCCCCCTTCCCCCCCCCACGGTTTCCAAGCCAGGAAGGAATGTATTGCAATGTGATCTGTACTGCATTATATTCAGTGGAGCACAAGAAAGACTTCAAGAGTCTTTTGGACCCTGGATGTCTCATTAAAGAGAACCTGTCTCCACAAAAATCACAAAGGGGAAAGAAAAATCTGAATGTGTATATTGATTGGCTTGTGTGAAAGCTATAGTATCTACAAACAATGGTTTATATACTGGAATTTTTATTTATATTTTTTATACTAGTAATGGTGGTGATCAGCAACTTGTAGTCGGACCGTGATAGTGCTGTGGGCAATCTGACACACCAACCAGTGACACTAATACAGTGATCAGTGATAATACTATACACAGTCATTGTACTAATAAAACTGGCTGGGAAGGTGTTAACATCTCGGGGTAATGAAGGGGTTAAGTGCATGCCTATGTTTAATGTGTTTGTTTTGCCCTTGCACAGAGCAGGCAAGTTGTGTGTGTGTGTGTGTGTGTGTGTGTGTGTGTTCTAATTAAAAAAAAAAAAAACTTTTAAAATCACTTTTACCCTTCTATATACCCAGTGAACTGACTGGCCTCAGGTGGTACACAGAGATTAAACAAATCCTCTAACATAAGTTGTACTGTGTTAGTTGAGGACTTAATCGTCCAGTGCTTATCTGTTCCTGTCCTAATTTATGACACTAGCTTTGGAATGTGCGCACACTGGAAGAAACTCACGCTGACACACAAGTTCAGTCTATGAATGCTTCTAGTTTATTATAATGAGAAAATAAGCTTATATATGAAGAATGATGCGAGAGTCATGTGACAACAGCATAAGCATTATATTAGTCTTTGATTGGTCATTTCCACACGAAAACAATCTCCGTCATGGTATAGGTGTGATCTTCTTCCAGGCCTTCTCTTTTTAGGAAAACATTCTTTTGTCTTCCAAATCACACGGTGGGAGGGGGTCTGTGTGTGTGAGCAGACATTTCTTAAGCAAGGATTTCTTATAGTACCACAAAGCCCAGCAGGCAGAAAATATTCACACAACATATGTATTAAAGTATAAAAGTAAATATTTATAAAACTTATAGAAATAGCGTATATATATATATATTCAATAGGAAACTAAATAGGCATTTTACCAAATCCATCACAGTACCTCTAACAGAAGTTGTTCCTGTTTATCTGCAGTATTCTCTTCTCTACATCCATCCAAAGTGCTGAATTTGTACAGCTTGTCTGAGAATTCAGAAAAAAGGGGTGTGGAGCTGAAATGACACTCCCACTGCTCTCAGTGAGGAGAGCTCTGAGTGCTGATTGGAGGGAAGGGACACACACTCCTTCACACAGCTCACAGGAACAGAGCTGAGGCTGTCCATCTGCTGGAGGTCCCTGTCACCATTTTTCTCTTGGTGTTCGAAAAACTCATCACAGGTGATTCATGCTGATGGCAGAGGAAGGAGGCAGCAGACAGAAATGATACTTGGTGCTCTGGATTGAGACACGTACACACTATAGAGGGATATGCTTTGCTCATATTTCATGTCTGAGGTTTAAAGCCACTTAAAAAAAAAAAAAAACTTCCGTATTTAGAACCACTTTAATTCATGTTAATGGCTGCGTTTGCTTTTCATGGTGTCTTCTATATGTCATCTGCTACTTGGATGCTACAGCCACAACTTAGAGTGGACATCCTTGGCAGCGAAAGGGTTACATTTTTTTTTTTTTTATTATGCGATTTTGCCTTAAATTTAAACTTTTTTTTTTTTTTTCTTTGTGCAATGCAGGTGGGTATAAAGGGCCATTCCTCGGTGGAAGATGCTCAGACATGCATGGAGCTCTATAAATTGGTGGAGGACCAGTATGAACAAAAACTTCTTACTGACATTCACGAAGACACTGAAAGCATTCCAGAGAACACTCAAAACAACAGCCACTACATGGATGATCAATACTGGCCATCGGACTTGGATGAAGACTGCAAATGATTTGTCAATTATTGGACTGTCATCTCTTCATCCCTGTATATTAATGTTAATAATGTTATTGCTGCTATTTAAATAACTTATTGGGGAAATTTACTAAAACTGGAGAGTGCAAAATATGGTTCATGGAGACCAGTGAGCTTCCAGGTTTTGTTGCCAGCGCTAATGGAACAAGCTGACGTTAGAAGCTAATTGGCTACCGTGCACCAGCTGCTCCTGATTGCGTACCCCAGTGTTATTAAATTTCCCCCATTGTGTATTGTTGGTGTTTATTACTTGAACTCCCGAAGTGAATGCCGAAATAGATTCTGTAGCAGGAGGCAAATTTTAAGGGAAGAATCGCACCTTTTGCCTTTTTGAAACATATGTAGGTTAATGCATTTTTGCATTGAAGAAAAACAAAAACGTGTCGGTGTGTGTTTGTATTGCATTTTTAATGCACTTTACTTTGCACATCAACTCACATTGACATGTATTGTGATATATATCCATTGATTTCAATGGAAAACACATCAAAGTACAAAGGTGTGACACCTTATTCTCTACCTCATTGACTATTAAGCTTTTTGTTGTTCACTTGTTCATAGTGGATGGCAGTCAGACAGACACCTACAAAAAAACAGTTGAAAACATTACAAAATTCTATCTATAAAAACAGTTTGATCTCCAGTTGGGTTAACAGAATATCCAAGCAGTCTGAATTAAAAACAGTTTTCTTTAATATTGATGACGGTAATGACTGGACTGTTTGATCTAAGAACTGTATCTGTTATCACCAGCCACCTAAATGTTTACTGCAGAATAAACTCTTACATCTGATCAACTGCTTTGTGGATTTAGGCATATTTTTCATCCCAAAAAGGTGTCATTCTCTGTAGTTGTAACATTTCTGCACATAAAGATGTTTTATATACTATGCTTAGAGATGGCACATAGAGAAACATAAAGAGTGATGGTAGAAATAAGCAAGTGGTTCACAAAGGCCAGTCGGATATTTTTTTTTATTCTCTCTCTCTCTCTCTCTTCCCCCCTCTCTCTCTATCCCCCTCCCCCCCTCTCCCCCTTCAGTTTTGCAGCCTGTAATTAATTTTTTTTTCCCTCAATCTACATTCGGTACCCCATAATTACAAAGTGAAAACAGAATTTTAGAAATGTCTAAATTTATTGGGATAAAAACTAAGTATGTACTTAAAGTGAATCTAAAGGCTTTGATATTTTTTTCTTTAAAAAAAAAAAAAAATGTCCAGTGTGCAGTGGTTTTTTGCACAGAGCAGCCCGGATCCTGGTCCCCCCCTCCTGTCGGGTACCCCACAGCAAGCCGCTTGCCATGGAGGCACCCACTGCTCCGTGTGACTTGGCCATACCTCCTCTCTTCTCACTGGCTGTGATTGACCACAGTGGGAGCCAATGGCTCCTGCTTCTGTCTCAGCAAATGAAGAGATAGCAGAGACTCCAGTGCACATCGCTGGATCTAGAGGGGGGCTTAGGGTGAGTAACGGGGGGGGAGGCACAGAGGTTTTTCACCTTCATGCATAGAATCATGAAGGTAACAATCCTTGAGCCTTCAGGATCACTTTAAATATTCAGACCCTTTAGGATCCTTTCAAACGGAGCGGACACAGATGTTCGCTGTCTTCAATGGGCGGTCAGATGAAAACATGAGGAAGGGTTGTAACAGCGCAAACACTGCAAAGTCCTGGGAAATGGTAGTATGGGTGATGGTGGTATTAGTGGCTACTGTATGAAGAGCGTAGGATTCCGTGTGGCACTGAGGGCAAGGCTTCCAAATAAGCTGTAGCAACTTCTGTAGATGAGAAAAAGGAGAGAAGCGCCTCTAAGTGCAATAAGTCTTTTAATTCAAGTCTAAATGTAGAAACACTCACATGTGTGAAGTAATCATAAGCATAAAAACCGTGGTTAACAATAGTTAATGGTGGGGTGGTAACCCGGGTGAAGAGCCGTCATCTCTCTGCGATGTGGGGAGGTCAGCTCTCGGCTGGAACAGCGTGGTGGCTGGAGGGGGAACAGCGGTGAGGCCAGCCTTCATGCACGTCCTCCCTCAAAGCCGGATGGATGGAACGCACGCTGGAACGTAGCGGCGGCGTGGCTGTGATGACGTCAGATCCCAGGGTGCACTGCGACGCGTTTCGGAGCATGCACTGGCCGTGGAAGGCGGAAGTGCACTCCTTTTTCAAGCAGGGGGAAGTGGATGAACAGGGTGAATATATAGGGAACGTGAGTCTAATTGATCAATTAACCAATTAACCAGTGATTGACCATTGCTGTCAGGTGAATAGTGTAAAGTCATGGATGTTAACTGGGGGGTAAAAGGAAACCAAATGGAAAAAAGAGAGGATGTAATAAATAAGAAAACGGAAGACGAAAGAAAAAAAAAAAAAAAAAATTATGTTCTGGGAGATTAGTGGGGTAAAATGTTCACCTTGCAGCACTGGCACATCAATTATGTAACAGTAGTGAGCAGATATTTAGTGGTAATATAGCATGATTGCAAGATGATACAGCATGATTGCAAGATGATAAACATATTGGTAATAATACATGCAGATGACATTATAAAAAGTAAATTACATTGTAAAAAATTGTAAAAAATAGAATAAAATATAAATAATGAACAAAAGGTTATAAATAATAAACTAAAAATTGGATTAAAAAAAAAAAAAAAATTTCGATAAAAAATTCGATTAAAAAATTGGATTAAAAAAAAAAAAAAAAAAAAAAAAAAAAAAATTTTATAAAGAAAGGGGGGGGGGGGGAAGTATCATTGTGAGTGTTGAGTGGCTGTGAATGGGAGATTGTAGTGTTTATAGTATAGTGTTAATGTCTAATTCCTCGTTGAGTCCGCCTGGGGACAATGTATCTAATGTAAATATCCAATAAGTTTCTTGTGAACAAAGTTTTTTGAAACGATCAGACTCAGAGAGATTGTTGTGTATGGATTCTAAGACCCATACTTGTAGGCCATCAGTGGATTTTTGGTGATATTCAAGGAAGTGGCGGGGGACGCTATGTTTGTCTTTACCATCTTCAATAAGACGTCTGTGCTCGCCAAACCTGGCGCGGAGGGGTCTGATGGTTCGTCCCACATATAGGAGGCCGCAAGGGCAGGATATACAATAGATCACATGATCAGTGGAGCAGTTGTAAAATTCTTTGAATGAATAGGTTTTTTTCCTTTTGTGGTGAAGTTTTTTTGTCCGTGTTTAACGAATTGGCAAGTTTTGCATAGCGCTTTGTTGCATCTATACATGCCGACAATGGGTATGAGGCAGATTGTGTTGAGTGTGTTGGTGGGTGGGTTGTATTTGCTGGGGGCAATCTTGTTTTTAAGGTTGATGGCTTTGCGGTAGGTGTATTTTGGTTTTTTATCTAAGATGTCTATTAAATGTGGATCCTGTAGTAGTATCGGCCAATGTCTATTGATGATAGACTCCATTTTGTGAAAGTTGTTGTGGAATTTGGTTATAAATCTGACCTGGTTGGGAGGGCTGTGTGTTATTGTTGTGTTTGGGGTCTACCCTTGTGGTAGAAGGAGTGGGCCTCATCTACTACTAGCTTGTGTGGGTAACCTTTGTCTAGGAATTTCTTTATTAGAATGTCACTCTGGAGATTGTAATCTGAATCTGTGGTGCAGTTTTGTCTGAGACGACAGAATTGTCCTTTAGGTATATTTTGGATCCATTTGGGGTGGTGGCAGCTGTTGAAGTGGAGGTATGAGTTGCCAGATACTGGTTTGAAGTGGTTTTTTTGTTAATATTTGGAGATTGTCATGGTATAATTCGAGATCTAGGAATACAAGAGTATGTTTGTGGTGAGTGGAGGTGAAGGACAGTCCAAAAGGATTTGAATTGCAATGGGTTACGAACTGGTCTACGTGTGATATTGGTCCATCCCAGATGACGATAATGTCATCTATGTAACGGCCGTAAAAGATGATGTGGGCGGCAAAGGGATTGTTGTGCCATATGTGTTTGTCCTCCCAGAAACTCATAGTCAAGTTGGCATATGAGGGTGCAAAGTTGGCTCCCATGGCTGTACCTTGAGTTTGTAAGTAGAAATCGTGGTTGAATGTGAAGTAATTGTGTTTGAGGCAAAATGAGGTGGCGTCTACTAAAAAGGAAGATTGTTTGGGGTTGAGTGATGGATCCAAGGATAGATAATGCTGGATGGCGGTGATGCCTACATCATGGGGTATCGAGGTGTATAGGGAGCAGACATCTAACGAGACCCAACAATAGTCGGGTTCCCAGGAGTATGTTTGGAGTAATTCTAGCAAGTGTCCGCTGTCCCGGATATATGAGTGTTGAGCCTGTGCAAGGGGTTGTAGGAAGTGGTCGATATATTGGGAGAAACCGCTGGTAATGCTCCCTGTGGCCGCTACGATCGGTCTTCCTGGTGGATTATTTGGATTTTTGTGTACTTTGGGGAGAAAGTAAAAATACGGGGTGTTGTAGAAGTCTTTAGATAGAAAAGAGGCTTCCTGCTTGGTGATGACACCATCAAGTAAGGCTGTGTTCGTTAGTAGTAGTGCATCCTGTTTGAATTCGGGTAGTGGGTCTTTAGTTAATTTGGTATAAAACTTGCCAATTCGTTTAAACACGAACAAAAAAAACTTCACCACAAAAGGAAAAACCTATTCATTCAAAGAATTTTACAACTGCTCCACTGATCATGTGATCTATTGTATATCCTGCCCTTGCGGCCTCCTATATATGGGACGAACCATCAGACCCCTCAGACGCGCCAGGTTTGGCGAGCACAGACGTCTCATTGAAGATGGTAAAGACAAACATAGCGTGCGTAACCACTTCCTTGAATATCACCAAAAAATCCACTGATGGCCTACAAGTATGGGTCTTAGAATCCATACACAACAATCTCTCTGAGTCTGATCGTTTCAAAAAACTCTGTTCACAAGAAACTTATTGGATATTTACATTAGATACATTGTCCCCAGGCGGACTCATCGAGGAATTAGACATTAACACTATACTATAAAACACTACAATCTCCCATTCACAGCCACTCAACACTCACAATGATACTTCCCCCCCCCCCCCCCCCCCCCCCCCCCCCCCCCCCCTTTCTTTATAAAATTATTATTTTTTTTTTTTTTTTTTTTATCAAATTTTTTAATCAAATATTTTATCGAATTTTTTTTTTTTTTTTTTTATCCAATTTTTAGTTTATTATTTATAACCTTTTGTTCATTATTTTTATATTTTATTCTATTTTTTACAATGTAATTTACTTTTTATAATGTCATCTGCATGTATTATTACCAATATGTTTATCATCTTGCAATCATGCTGTATCATCTTGCAATCATGCTGTATTACCACTAAATATCTGCTCACTACTGTTACATAATTGATGTGCCAGTGCTGCAAGGTGAACATTTTTACTACCCCACTAATCTCCCAGAACATTATTTTTTTTTTTTTTTTTTTTCTTTCTTTCGTCTTCCGTTTTCTTATTTATTACATCCTCTCTTTTTTTCCATTTGGTTTCCTTTTACCCCCCAGTTAACATCCATGACTTTACATTATTCACCTGACAGCAATGGTCAATCACTGGTTAATTGGTTAATTGATCAATTAGACTCACGTTCCCTATATATTCACCCCTGTTCATCCACTTCCCCTGCTTGAAAAAGGAGTGCACTTCCGCCTTCCACGGCCAGTGCATGCTCCGAAACGCGTCGCAGTGCACCCTGGGATCTGACGTCATCACGGCCACGCCGCCGCTACGTTCCAGCGTGCGTTCCATCCGGCTTTGAGGGAGGACGTGCATGAAGGCTGGCCTCACCGCTGTTCCCCCTCCAGCCACCACGCTGTTCCAGCCGAGAGCTGACCTCCCCACATCGCAGAGAGATGACGGCTCTTCACCCGGGTTACCACCCACCGTTAACTATTGTTAACTACGGTTTTTATGCTTATGATTACGTCACACATGTGAGTGTTTCTACATTTAGACTTGAATTTAAAAGACTTATTGCACTTAGGGTCAGATGAAAACAGACCGCCTGTCTGTTTTCATTTGACCCGATCCAACGGACAGCAGGGGAATTGGATCCCTATTTGTCCCTTTTTTGGCGGATTGGATTGGATGTCGGCAGGTGTAAACGGACACGTCCGTTTGTACCCACCGCTTCATAGAGGAGAATGGAGGTTCTGATCGGGTCCGCCTGAAAAACGGGCAGGTGGACCCGATCGGAATGTCCATGTAATAGTCCTTACTCTTTGTTGAAGCACCTTTTGGTAGCAATTCCAGCCTCGAGTCTTTTTGGGTATGACGGCATAAGCTTTGCACACCTGGATTGGGGGATTTTCTGCCATTCTTTGCAAATCCTCTCAAGCTCGGTCAGGTTGGATGAGGGCCATCTGGCAGCCATTTTCAGGTCTTTACAGAAGCGTTCAAGACGGCTACTCTAGGACATTCACATCGTTATCCCTAAGCCACACATGTGTTGTCTTTGCTAGTTTGCTTACGATCATTGTCATGTTGGAAGGTGAACCTTTGGCCCAGTCTGAGGTTCTGAGTGCTGTAGAACAGGTTTTCATTGAGTTTATCCCTGTAATTTGCTCCATTTTTTAAGCTTTTCCTCAACCCTGACCAGTCTCCCTGTCCATGCTGCTGAAAAAAAACCCCACAGCATGATGATGTTGCAACCACCAAGCTTCACTGTTGGGATGGTATTGGGCAGGTGATGAGTGGTGCCTGGTTTCCTCCTGACATAATGTTTAGAACTCGGGCCAAACAGTTCAATCTTGATTTCATCTGACCAGAGAATCTTGTTCCTCAGTCTGAGAGTCCTTCATGTGCATTTTTGCAAACTCAAAGCAGGCTTTTGTGTTTTTAAACTAAGTAAAGGCTTCTGTTTTGCTGCTCTGCTATAAAGCCCAGATCAGTGGGGGGGGGGGGGGGGGGGGGGGGGGAATGCAGTGATGATTGTCATTTTGGAACTTTGTCCCATCTCAACACAGGAAATCTGGAGCTCAGTCAGTGACCATGGGGTTCTTGGGAATCTTCAGTACAGCAGAAATGTTTTTGGAGCCTTCCCCTGATACTGTGCCTGTCTATGAGCTCTGCAGGCAGTTTCTTTGCCCTAATGGCTTTTTTTTATGTATTGACAGCTGAGAGGTGTAGGACTCATCAAATCCCAGTTGATGATGACGACAACTAGAAATTGCGTCCTGGCGCTTGGATTCACACACTGCCTCCCATAGACGTCAATGGGGAATCGCGCCCCATAGACCAATGGGGAATCGCGCCCCATAGACGTCAATGGGGAATCGCGCCCCATAGACGTCAATGGGGAATCGCGCCCCATAGACGTCAATGGGGAATCGCGCCCCAAGACGTCGGGGAATCGCCCCCATAGACGTCAATGGGGAATCGCGCCCCAAAAAATCCACAACATCGAGACGCAATGCCACAACAGAGACGCTGCTCCAGGTCTATGTAGCAAGATCCACTTAACACAAACTGCAGAGTTGCTCAGCCTGACTCCCCTTCAGAAGACAGCAAAAATCATGAAAATGGCTGTACTCTCTGCAGGGTCTTGATAATTTATTGAAAAATTGTCATAAAAATATCAAAAGGTACTTTAGCACCAAAGTAAAAGCAAACAAGAAAGATTTAACATTGGGAAATTGCGCCCCATAGATGTCAATGCAAAAAACTGTCAATTACAATCCTATGTGAACACTTATCTCTGCATTCCGCTCTACCACTTGCGAGTCTGGAAACCACTGCTACAAACTCGCACAGGACCCTTTTTGTAATGACACTCAACAATGGGTGTGAACCACCTCAATAGGAACACCTATGCTCTAGCCTGTCATGGGAATCTGAGTTTCAAAACATCCGGATTCGCATATGTGAACCAGGGCGGCTCCATTCACACCTGGGTGTTTTGGGATCACAGCAGAATCGCTGTGATCGCAAAACATAGGTTTTTTTTTTTTAATGGCGCTGAAAATGTGGTGCGGTTTTGACCTTATTGTTGCATGGCAAATCGCATCGGGTAAAGTCAATCCATGCTATGCTACAAAAAAAGAAAAAAAACCTGGCTCCTAGATTCAAAGCAAATTTGTCAAGCCCTGGAGAGGTGTGTGCTTTTCCAGATCATGTCCAGTCAATTTAGTTTACCACAGGTGGACTCCAATCAAGGTGTAGAAACCTCTCTGCATCGATCAAGAGAAATTAGAGGCACCCGAAATAAATTTAAAGTGTTGTTGCAAAGGGTCTGAATACTTTTGTCAATGTGATATTTCAGGTTTTCATACATTTGCAAACATTTCCAAATTTTTCACTTTGTCATTATGGGGTACTGAGTGTAGATTAATGAGGGAAAAAAAATAATTTAAACACCTGTAGGATCAGGCTGCAATTTAACAGAACTTAAAAAAAAAAAAAAAAAAAAAAAAAAAAATTATGAAGGCTTCTGAAAATTTTACACACACACACTCTCTCACTCTCTCTCACACACTCTCTCCCCCCACCTCTCACATTTTTGTAAATATTTTATTCTATCTTTTCATGTGACAACACTGAGGAAATGACACTTTGCTACAATGTGACGTAGTGAGTGTACAGCTTGTATAACAGTGTAAATTTGCTGTCCCCTCAAAATAACTCAACACACCGCCATTAAGTTCTAAAGTGCTGGCAACAAAAGTGAGTACACCCCTAAGTGAAAATGTCCAAATTGAGCCCAATTCGACATTTTCCCTCCCCAGTGTCATGTGACTCGTTAGTGTTACAAAGTCTCAGGTGTGAATGGGGACTAGGTGTGTTAAATTTGGTGTTATCGCTCTCACTCATACTGGTCACTGGAAGTTCAACGTGGCACCTCATGGCAAAGAACTCAAAAATGAGTACACCCCTAAGTGAACTTTTCCAAATTGGGCCCAAAGTCTCAATATTTTGTGTGGCCACCATTATTTTCCAGCACGGCCTTAAACCTCTTGGGCATGGAGTTCACCAGAGCTTCACAGGTTGCCACTGGAATCCTCTTCCACTCCTCCTTGACTACATCACGGAGCTAGTGAATGTTAGAGACCTTGCGCTCCTCCACCTTCCATTTGAGGATGCCCCACAGATGCTCAATAAGGTTTAGGTCTGGAGACATGCTTGGCCAGTCCATCACCTTTGCCCTCAGCTTCTTTAGCAAGACAGTGGTTGTTTTGGAGGTGTGTTTGGGGTCGTTATCATGTTGGCATACTGCCCTGCGGCCCAGTCTCCGAAGGGAGGGGATCGTGTTCTGCTTCAGTATGTCACAGTACATGTTGACATGCATGGTTCCTTCAGTGAACTCTAGCTCCCCAGTGCCGGCAGCACTCATGTAGCCCCAGACCATGACACTCCCACCACCATGCTTGACTAGGCAAGACACACTTGTCTTTGTATTCCTCACCTGGTTGCCACCACATACGCTTGACACCATCTGAACCAAATCCGTTGAGCTTGGTCTCATCAGACCACAGAACATGGTTCCAGTAATCCATGTCCTTAGTCTTCTTGTCTTCAGCAAACTGCAGGCTTTCTTGTGCATCATCTTTAGAAGAGGCTTCTTTCTGAGACGACAGCCATGCAGACCACTCATACGTCTATTTCCCAAAGACAACCTCTGGCTATGATGCTGAGCACGTGCACTTAACTGCTTTGGTTGACCATGGCGAGGCCTGTTCTGAGTGGAATCTGTCCTGTTAAAACCGCTGTATGGTCTTGGCCACCATACTGCAGCTCAGTTTCAGGGTCTTGACAATCTTCGTATAGCCTAGGCCATCTTTATGTACAGCAACAATTCTTTTTTTCAGATCCTCAGAGAGTTCTTTGCCATGAGGTGCCATGTTGAACTTCCAGTGACCTATATGAGAGAGTGAGAGCGCTAACACCAAATTTAACACACCTGCTCCCCATTCACACCTGAGACTTTGTAACACTAACGAGTCACATGACACTGGGAAGGGAAAATGGCTAATTGGGCCCAATTTTGACATTTTCACTTAGGGGTGTACTCACTTTTGTTGCCAGCACTTTAGAATTTAATGGCTGTGTGTTATTTTGAGGGGACAGCAAATTTACACTGTTATACAAGCTGTACACTCACTACATCATATTGTAGCAAAGTGTAATTTCCTCAGTGTTGTCACCTGAAAAGATAGAATAAAATATTTACAAAAATGTGAGGGGTGTACTCACTTTTGTGAGATATTGTATATGTACACACACTATATTGCCAAAAGTATTGGTCGGCCTGCATTTACACGCACATGAACTTTAATGGCATCCCAGTCTTAGTCCGTAGGGTTCAATATTGAGTTGGCCCCACCCTTTGCAGCTATAACAGCTTCAACTCTTCTGGGAAGGCCATCCTCAAGGTTTAGGAGGGTGTCTATGGGAAGGTTTGACCATTCTTTCAGAAGTACATTTGTGAGGTCAGGCACTGATGTCGGACAAGAAGGCCTGGCTCGCGGTCTCCACTTTAATTCATCCCAAAGGTGTTCTGTTGGGTTGAGGTCACGACTCTGTGCAGCCCAGTCAAGTTCCTCCACCCCAAACTCGCTCATCCATGTCTTTATGGACCTTGCTTTGTGCACTGGTGCACAGTCATATTGGAACAGGAAGGGATCATCCCCAAATTCTTCCCACAAAGTTGCGAGCATGAAATTGTCCTAAATATCTTGGTATGCTGACGCCTTAAGAGTTCCCTTTATTGGAACTAGGGGGCCAAGCCCAACCCCTGAAAAACAATCTCACACCATAATCCCCCCTCCACCACACTTTACACTTGGCACAATGCAGTCAGGCAAGTACCGTTCTGGCAACTGCCAAAACCAGACACAACCATTGGATTGCCAGACAGAAGTGTGATTGGTCACTCCAGAGAACACATCTCCACTGCTCTAAAGTCCAATTTAATTTTGGAAACAGCCAAAAGTCGCATTGTACTACATGGATTTCTGGGCTAGGAACTCACAAACAACGCATCATGTGCAAAAGCATTGTTGTGGTGGAGAATGCACTTGTTGGGCCAGAGTTATTGCCTTTTCATCAAACAGATTCCCATAACCTTTGCCCACATTTGCATCCCTCCTTTGCTTTTCTGGCTGCCCACTTTTTGCGTCTTGATTCGTGGACATCTTCCCGCCTCTCCTTAACCACTTGTCTACTGGGCACTCATACCCCCTTCTGTACCAGGCCAATTTTCAGCTTTCAGCGCTGTCGCACTTTGATTGACAATTGTGCGGTCATGCAAGATTGTACCCATCTGAAAGTTTTATAATTTTTTTCTCACAAATAGAGCTTTCTTTTGATGGTATTTAATCGTCACTGGGCACTTTACTTTTTGCGCTATAAACAAAAAAAAAAGTTCAAAAAAATTTGAAAAAAAAAAAAGTTTCTTTGTTTCTATTATAAAATTTTTCAAACAGGTAATTTTTCTCCTTCACTGATGTGCGTTGATGTGGCAGCACTGATGGGCACTGATAGGTGGCACTGAATGGCATCACTGGTGGCACTGCTAGGCATTGACTGGCGCAACTTCTGGGCACTGACTGGCACAACCGCTTGGCACTGACTGGCAGCAGCACTGCTGGGCTGCACTGAAGGGCACTGGTGGGCACAGGTGGGTGGCACTGCTGGGTGGCACAGGGTGCACTGCTGGACACTGCTGGGCACTGGTGGGTGGCACTGCTGGGCACCGATCATCAGGGCACTGATCATCAGTGCCCTGATGATCGGAGCCGATCCCTGCTCTGACAACTGCTGGTTCTTGGCAGTACTTTCCTCGTGCTCTGACAGCGTGAGGAAAGTGCAGCCGAGAACCGGCAATTGCATTTCCCGATGATCAGCGTATCATTGGACACGGCTGATCACGTGGTAAAAGGCCACTGTGATTGGCCTTTTACCACATCACGTAATCAGCTGCGTCCGTAGGACACGGCGATCATGGAGATCGCCAGGTGCGTGTTTTGGGAGGATGTCATATGACGCCCTCCCAGAACTGGGCGGCCACAGTGTAGCCGTCATTCGGCTATCTGCGGTTGGCAAGTAGTTAAACCACCTATGCCATTCAAAAACATTTGATTCTTAATTGAATGCTCACCATAAGCCTGTTGTAACAGAGCTAAAGTTGCACTCGCAATTTTGCCAATTTTCACACACAATTTGATATTAATGTGCTGCTCCAGATTTTTGTTACTCATATTTCGACTACAGGGCAAATGCACACGTTATTTCTTCTGCTACTCTGTAAAGACTGAGACAACTGGTCTGTACCCCAGGCGAGTGCCCCATAGAACATGTCAGAACACACTCGAGTGTGAATAGCTGTGTAACCACCATAGTGCCAAGGCACTGGTATTCCGGCAATTAAATTGTCACACCTCGTATTGGAGTACACGAGCTTACAGCCATTCACTTCTATAGCCGGCTGTACGTGCCACCTGCGGCTCCTCTGGCATTGAAAAATGCCTGGATTTTATATTACAGAGCTTTTTATGCCTCAAACTGTCCGTGTGCATAAAAACCTCATAAATATTTTTCATGATTAATCCTGAAACAAATCCACAAGCCTTTAAGGGAAACCTTTGTAAAAAAAAAAAAAAAAATACAGAGTAAAAACCTGTTGAGTGGGACTCCTAAGGAAAATTAAAAAAATAATAAAAGTTGAAAATGTCATTCGATAGATGAAGGCGTAAAGATGAAAAGGTAACATGAAAGCGAAATTTCATGAAACAGGAGCGTGGACTAAATCTGCACCCGATTTGTTGTTTTTTTGCCTCCAGATTCTATTTATCTGGGATGATATGAAGCCGAAGCCTCCACGTTTCTGGCATCCCAACTGCCCGAGTTTGCCAAGGACTGTGAAACAAAAGTCCCTCTACAAGCTGTTTTATTTTGCTCAATATTTTCTGCTTACAGCCATGCCTGTTGTTAACTGCAGGGAACGCTACGCCTTATAGTAAAACTCACTGGGATTCCAATAGAAAAAAAGAGGCTGTGATTACTGCAAGCACACACACTTAAAATCCACAATGAAGCATTGTGAGGAATAATGTACCATTAATAGTGGATTCTGCAGAAACAATTTTTTGTTTTTTTTTTTTGCTTTTTTTTTTGTAGTCTGTCAGCCAGGTCAGCTTTGTATTATGCCGACAGTCCTTTGTGATCTGCGGTCACATTTTCAAACCTATTTATGGTTAAAGCCCAGTGAGCCTTTCTTTTTCATTTTTAGTGATTAGTACCTGTTTAATTTTTCACATATTTGAATCCAGTTTAATTACTTGAAGAGTGATACAGACATCTTACAAGACTTGGTGGTGATCAGTCAGTTCTATTGTTTTGTGCTAAAGCAAATTTCCTCCACTTAAAAAAATAAAATGTAACAAACGTAGTAAAAAAAAAACGTAAAAAAACAAAAACATGGGGTCCTTGAGAAGCAGGTTGGCTCGCAGTCTTTTATTGTTAAAAAATATTTTTTACATTTTATATTTTTTAAATAGATATTTAATTTTTTTTTTATGTACCTTCTCTAAAGACCCAGCAGTAAGATTAGAAACTGTGTTACCCCAACATATCATATTCCCTTTATGTGTCTATTGTACCATGTGAGGTTTGATGATGCAACTTCCGCCCTTTGGAACACACGCTGGGACGCGGTTGCCATCTTGGTTCCTATTCACAGCAAAGCTGAATACACTGAGCGCCAGGTTATGATGGGTACTTTGCTTGTGAGTTTTATTCCTATAATTTCTCCCTGTCATTAAAGTTTTTTATGGTTTTACACTATAGGAGGTTTGCTTTTGTTTCTGTTCACATGCTGAAACTTGGTTTACTGCCTGGGAGGAGAGGAGAAAGTTCAAAAGGCTCTTTTGAAACTACGCTCATTTATATCCACGCTGGTCATCATCCTATTGGTTACTATCAGCCAGATCGCATGATTCCCAGGAATGAATATTGGTGCCATTCTTGCCATCATGCATTGGGCTAGTCCCAAACCAGGCATTTAAGACCAACCTAGAGATAGGTGGTCCATGGCTAACGGTGAGTGCACATCCATGTGGGGCACCGATTGAGCACAGGGGAGGACCTGTCATTTTTTGCACAAAGTTCACCAATTAGCATTCAACACCTGGGCACTTTATTTTTCCGTATTGGGACTGAATGTTACAATTATTCACTTTGCATATGTGAAGCAATATTACTCATGTATTGTCAAATTAAATGCACTTAATTTATGCGTGGTCCACACGGTATTTTTTTTTTTTTTTTTATTGTACCATATACTTGTGTTAAAGAGAAGCTGCAGTCTCCGCCCCCCAAAAAAAGTCAGGAGCTACAAATACTGAGCTGATTCTTCAATCGGCTTTACCCCCCGGTCACATCAAGCTTGACTTACAGTAAAGTCGCACGATTTCAAAGTCAGGTAAGATGCCGATTTCAGGTGTGATTTGCAATACATCTGACACAGATGTCTATGCAAATCGCACCAAAAGTAGTGCATGTACTACTTTAGAAATCTGTGCGGCTCCGACCAAGTCAGAACCGCACCGATTTGACCGCTCTAATGGCGAACAATAGGGTGCAAATTGGCATACGATTTACAAGTCGCATGGCATGCAGATCGCATGCCAAATCGCACCCGATGTGACCGGGGTGTTAGGTCCAGGAACTGGTATCTTAACTAAGGGAAAGCAGCTGTGACGCCTCACAGCCGGCTTCCTACTGTTCATGTGTGAGTTGGTTCTGTGGATGGTTCTGCAGTCTTCTGATGTGTGGGGGGTGTGAACTTCTGCTTGGATTGCCTATCCCCCCCCTCAAAAAAAAAAATGGCAGTTGTTAAAGGGGGGGGGGGGGGCAAACAAGCAGAAGTTCCACTTTTGGGCGAAGTTCCACTTTAAAAAGTATCCTCTTCTCTTTTGTTTCCTTTGTTTGAAATACCTGGTGTTCCACCAGGAAGATCAGTGTTCTGCAGTTTCTCCACCTCTACATCTAT